GGAAGTCCACATTTTCCCAACAGAGTACTTGGGTGATCTTGCACTAGCTCCTGTGATGGCCATTTTTCTTAATTGTAGTACATTATGCATTGGCTTGATCATATGCTGTGTTTCTCCACAAAGCCTATCCCTGTTCCAATCTGGTGGCTTCCAGATGCAGAAGTACAGCTCTCACATTTTCAGCCAGTGCCCACTGCTATAAGAGTCAGGTATATCTGGAGGTTACAGGTGTGGGTAGCTACTCTACACTATCTGGGCAAAGAGGATTGTGTATATGGGTAAAGCTTTGTTTTAATTTTTGTTTTGGCCTTATTAACCTTTATAATTCACTACAACTTCATTATCAGGCATGATTTTTCTCATTTCTTTCGACCTCTACCAGTTCCTTCAATTCCTTTGCTCATTTCTTCAAAGACTGGACAACCCGTTGGTGTTCCATATTCCATTTGCATGCCATACTTAAGCCTAGTTTTCTTAGAGTGACCCAGTGTCATCTGATCTTAAGCAAGGTGGGAGGGCGATGTTTCTTCCTCAGCCAGTTGACGAGGTTTGACATTGGATACATGTTTTGTTTAAACTTTACTGAGCTTTTCATTGGCTTTTAGTGGAAGAGAAAAAAAATCCATCAACAGGTGTTTTTTTTAAAGGGTGATAAGTATAGCTTTTCAGGTCAGTGGCACTTTGGAAAAAGGGGTGATGGGAGAAAAAGGAGGGTATTCATCCTCAGATTAGCAGTCTGAACTGATTCAGTGAATCTGCCCTTCTTCGTGTTGACCCTTGACAATTTTGTCCAGAGGGGGAGGATCCCAGGGGAGAAACTGGCTGCCCTGTTCTCATCAGACCCTGCCAGCTGTTGACAATGGCCATCATTGTTAAAAGCAGGGCAGCTATAGCCTCTCATATTTTTTAAAAAGCAGGGCATAAAAAGAATAACTACGACAGAACAGTTTAAAAGGTGAGATTAAACTTGTTTTATTAAAAACAAACAACAGAAGGGCCTTTTATTATCTTATCTTAGGGTATCAGTTGGCACAGCGCCCTGAGAATATTCCCATTCAACCCTTCACTATAGTCTCAGATTTTGAGGGGAATGCTGGACATGTTTGAAACCAACATGTGGATCTAACAACCAAAATTGGGGAGATATGATTCTGATTAGGGTTACAACCTAGGGGAAAGGATTTAAATATTTAGAACCTCGCCGCTTATGGCTATTTGTTAAACATGGTTCATTGCAAAGCGAATAAAACTTTTTTTTTTTTAACTTTTCCTTTTCTAATCCTGTTTTGAAATTCAAACTGGTGCACCTCATGACATCAGAAGTGCAAGTGGGCCCTAAGTGACTGCCCCAAGCCTGGATCTTTTCTCCAAATAACTTTTCTAGGTGGACGTGTAGCAACAGGAAAGCTTTCTTGTGTATTTGACAGAGTGAAAAAATAATGGGCTGGGGGCCAGGGGGAAATTGAGTTTTTCAGACAACCTGAGTGGTTACCATGGACACCAGGCAATTTGGAATCTACATGCCCCCAGAGACTGGGATGCTGACAGACAGCAGTTGTAAAGACATGGAGCAGGGATGCCAAGAGCTAGACCACTATTTCTCAACCTTAGCAACTTCAAGATGAGTGGACTTCAATTCCCAGAATTCCCCAGCCAGGCTTGCTGGCTGGGGAATTCTGGAAGTTGAAGTCCACTCATCTTAAAGTTGCCAAGGTTGAGAAACAGTGAGCTAGACCCTTAAAAGCTGAGCACAACATGGCAGAGCTTCCCTTTGGATATCCTCCCTTGTTCACCTACTGGGCTATGCCATGGATACATAAATAAAGCACAATGACCAGTTCTGCGTAACAGGCTAAGCCAAACTAACCACTTTGTGGCTTAACACAGCAGGTACGCTCAGGGACAACGAATGGCAGCATTTTCTCTCCTTAGTAACTTCTCAGCGTTTTTGGGGGTTTTTTTTCCTCAAAGCAAATTGAGTCTGTGGCAAAGCAAGATCTCTTGAATCATCTCAATTCCTTGCTGGTGTGAACGTAAATGGATGCTTTGCAGAGCATCTCTTTTATACTGCTCCATTTTAGTCTCCTCTCCTATTTGTGGAGAACAATGCAGTTTCTTTCAGAGAAGTAGCTGAGATCTGTAAAGGGACTGGGGAAGAGAGATGCCAAAGTCTCTGTTGCTGTTCATATGGAGAGGAGTTAAAGAGTTCTTTGCCTGAGGCTTGCCATGTGTAGTAATAAATCAAAAAGTAAGGAGTCAGTATTACTTGGCCTCATCAACTTTTTCCTCAATTCATATTACAACCTCGCTGATTGGGATTTCCCATCTATACAGAGAGCGTGGTTTTTAACTGGAATAACATTTTATTTTATTTTATTTTATTTCATTTGTGTTTTTAGTTTATTTTTCTACACATTTAACTTACTTGTTCATTTTCCCTTACCACCCTTCACTTTCAAGGCAGCTGGCAAGGTTTCCCATAAAAGCGAAAAAGCTAATATCAAGAAAGCGAGCAAGAACGCTCGGCCGAGGCTTGTTTGCATGGCAGAGGCAAATCCTCAGGGCCCTGAATCCCAGGCTGCAGAGGTAGGGGACTAAATAATGTTGTCCTATGATTAAGTGGCCTCAGTGGGTGGCAGCGCCTTGCTTGGGCTCCAAAGCTAAGCAGGGCCAGGTCCCATTAGCACTTGGATGAGATCCCTCCCAGGCATTCCAGGGCAGTAGGCTAGTGTCTGAAGTGGAAAATGACCTCTGCGAAGATGCATCCCTGAAGTCGCCCCAAAACAATCTTAACGTGAGGAAGACTGTTCTTCTTTGGTGAAGAATAGCAGCTTCTTCCCAAAGTTGCAGCCTTGCAGTTGCCCTGTGCGTGAGGGTCAGGAGCACGATCAGAAAGCAGGGTGGTACTGCCAATAGGAGCAGAGACAGTACCTGATGGTGTCTCCAAGGTGAAACAAGGCAACTGAGTTACTGCCAGCAAGGAGTGTGAGACCGAAAGCTCCCTACAGCTCTGCTTAAGACAGCAGGGCCACAGAGGTCACCCAAAGCTTAGGCTGGCTTTCTCCCTCTCCCTCCCTTGCTCTCCGTCTTCTCTTCACCATCCTGTCCTCCCTCCCCTTTTAATCCTAGTGTGTATAGAGGGGATGAGAGTGAATGTGGCAGAGAGACGCTAGGGAGAGATAGAGAGAGACAGAGAGAGAGACAGCGCGCGCATGGCGGACTCCACACACACCAGGCAGCCCGGGGTGCTCTCTTGCTCATCCTCTTCAGCCCGCAGAGATGGCTCTTCTCCAGATAGGGGTGAGGAGAAGCCTAAAAAAAGAGCTTTCTACCTAGTGAGGATGAAGCCACTGAAGGAGCCCGTGATGAACAACAACAACAACGTGTCTTTCGTGATCCACTGTCACATAGGCAAGGAGATCAAACACATATGCAGCAACTGCAGTTGCGGGAAGGAAGCCCGTGACGGTGAGTGCAACGATCTTAGTCCCTGCCTTGTTGTGAGCAAGAGAGAGCCTAAATGTTTTCTTGCTGGGTTGGGTGGCAGTGTCCATCGGCGCCTTCTCCCAATTCTTGAAAGCTACGCTTGCTGCTCGAAGGGACTGCAGGAGGAGAGAAAGAGCAGGCAGGGAATTCAGTGTCTTGGCATGCTGTTTGGCATGACAAGCAGAGCAAAAGAACAAAACGCCCGCCTTTTTTTTCTTCTTTTTTTAACCTTCACTTGTCTGTGTCTATAGCATTCCCAGGGAATCAATCTATAACAGCCACAGAAATGGTTTTCGGTAGTGTTTGTTTTAATTGCCACGATTTGCTTTTTTCAGCCGCGGCGTATCAACTTTTTCCTCTGCCCCTCCTCTTTCCACATGCCGCATTACGAGTTCGACTAAGTTAATTACTAGTGTTTAGGAGCCTGTTTTATGGGATTGATTTCATATGATATTCTCTCTGTACTACTGAATTGGTTTTCAACCCACCCTGGGACAAGAGGAGAGTTACTGGTGGAAATCTTATTGGGATTAATCTAGTACCTTTTGTCAGGCTGCTGTCAACACCTTTCCCTGCTCTCTTTTTGGCACACAGTGCAATATTCAAAGGGGACGTTCAAGTAGAAGTCAGTGGAATTGGAAGGGTTTAAACAGGTCAGCCGAGCTGTTCCGTGTGTTTGTCAGAAGCAAACAAAATGTTTCAAATAAGGGTAAGAAATTGTTCTCATTTTGTCTGAGTCAGCAACTGGAAGAGAGGGGGAAGTGTCAAGAGGCATAACACAAAGCCAAGCAAAAATACGTTGGAGGTGTTATCAGCCATACCTTATTAAATGTGTCTGGTTCAACGGGGGGTGGGGGGAGTGTCCTAATGTTCTGTATTTTAGTTAACATATAAATCTACTTGCATTAGGAGCAGCTTCACTGAAGGTCAGTGAAAGGTTTTTAACTGCAAATTAGGATACGAAGAGACAACTCTCGGAGCTGTTTGTTATCTGAGTTGCCACCGCTTTGTTTCTCTATTTTTGATAGGTGGTGCATTTGGAATGGTCACAATTCTGCTTGGAAGAGCCAAGGAGTGCCTGTATCTCAGTTCAGGCAGCTCCTTGTAACCCAAAGCAGTGCAGCAATCAGATAACTGTGATGTATGGTTCCTCCTCACCTTTCTCTCTTTCACAAATGGAAACTTACTAATATAATTAGAATTTGGTATAAACAGGCTGGACTGAGCTTGCATGGAGCAGCAGGACCGCTTTTTAATACATTGTGATTCAAATTTTTGCTTCAGTTGTGCAACTGGTACCAAGAAGTAACACTGGCTCACACTTTGTGTATGCTTTGCTATGCTTCTCTCCCTTCCTGGTCCCTTCTGTGTATTACTTATGTCAGCAAAGTCCCCTGGAAATTAAACCCAGAAATTTGCAAAGCAAGAGCAGTGAGTCACCTTATGATTTTAGTGTGTTTTATTCATTCTCCAAAAGCAGGCTATGCCACTTATTTAACATATGCACTAAAACTGCTTTGATCTAATTCATCTCTAGATTGCAATGCATTTATTAGCATCCTTGGTCTCACAATGTATTAAGGCTAACGTAAGAGGAAAAGCATAAGTTAAGGCTGCAGTATCTGGGTTGCAAAAATCCAGGCAACCACTAGATATAGAAAACTCTAAACGCTTGCTCTTATTTACTGATCATCTGGATTTTTGCAGCCTGAATGTGGTAGCCCTAAATGCCTATCTTCCAATGGTAAAGGATCTTGTTAAAATGACTTTCTAATGGTTTGAAACACATTTTAACAAGATTTGTGGAGATACACAAATAAGACCCCTTCAGCAGAGGTTTTAAGTTGGCAATCAGTTGTTGAATACTAAGCAGTACCATGTAAGAGGTTAAAAAAGGAGTAAACGATGTAATGTGTGATAGGAGCAAAGAAAGAAGAAAAGAAATTGAGGTGACTTGTAATTCAGATGTTGCCGATTTCACTTCTTCTTATTTTTCTGATGCTTCTTTTTGATAGTGGCACAGTCTTAGGCCATGATCAGTTAGGATCTTGTTCCCTGAAAGCCTCTTCAAAGCCAATAGAAAATTAGCAATATAAGCTCATGTGCAGATTCTATTCATTTTAACGAGACTAGAAGGTCTCAGTGTATTATGTCCACCATTCATAACAAGAGATACCGAGGAGTACACACCATATACCTCAGAGCAAAATAATACTCATTTCATGGAGTGTCTCACTAATATAGCACATAAAGCTTCTTTCAGGCCAAGGGCGAGCAAACAGCAGCTCATGAGTCCCTTTTGGTAGCCCCTAGAGATCTCTTTGAATATCTTTGTTGAAAGCTAACAACATAGTTCTCACCATTCTGAGATGGAAAATGTGAAAACTGAAGTATAAGTTTTAAAATAAGCATATCCCAGCATAAAAACAAAGAAAACCTGCCAAGTTCCCCAGCCCTTTCCCTCCTTATTCCACCCTTGGTTGCCAGAATCCCATCCCTGTCTTAGACATTATCTTCCTCAGAAGAAGGAGGCAAGAACTTGAAAATAACTTTGCCCAAGAAGCAGGCTTTCATTTTCCCATTTGCTGTTCTTGGAAGGAAAACATACTGGATTTGTTTCTAAGAAAAAGTATCAAGGATTGTGCCTGAGATCTTCTGCTTAGAAAGGATGAAAATTATTACTAAGGCAGTCACTTGCATTGGCCCCCAAATGGAAATACATTCTATAAATGATGGCTTTGATTGCCTAGCATTTGCATATGCCAAATGCAGAAATAAAGCCTATGATATAAATAAATATAAGATTCCTCTCACCATAGGGACCAGTCTGCTGCTCAATTCATTTTTGTGCTGGAAACAATGGATTGAGAAGTTGACAGTTCTGCTCTCTATTCTCATCCTTCTTTCTCCTTGAACTGCACTTGAACTGAACAACTCTTCAAATAGAACAGAAACTTGAGGCTCCTGGGCATAAATTAATTCACTCTATCTAGCTCATAGGGCTCTAAGCCCCTAACCCAAAAGCCCACTCTGCCAACTTCAGCAGCACATCCAGAGGCTTTTGCAAATGTTACTCTATGCAGTATCAAACACTCTGTGCCTTTTTTTCCTTTAGGAAAAGTGTGTTGTGCTCAAGCTGGAGAAAGCCATAGTTACAGATGCTCTGCTGTTATTGCTGCAGGAGGAGACAGGGAATCATTGTCAGTTTCTCCTGCACGGAGAAGAGCAAGTCACGGGCTTGTCCTTCTCCACACAGGCAGAGTCACATAAGGCATAGAGGATGAAAATGATGAAGAGGAAAGGTCTTCCCATGTCATCTGGCCCCTGGGTGAATAGAGAGCTGGATTCAGCCCTTGGACCAAATCCTGTTCCAATCCTGAAGTAAGAAGCTTATCCTCTGTAAAGGAAAACACATGACTACTCTAGTGGCTACAGTACTGTACTAGGGTATAAATGAAATTGGCTTGAAGTATTCTCATCAGTAATGCTTCAAGACACCTCATTGCAGCACTATGACAGCCTACCAGGGAATCTCAAAGTCCCCAGATTATAATTCAGATACATTCCTACTCTGGATCAGATATTCAAAGGGAGAAAGGGGGTAATTTTTCCATGCTACACAAATGGAAGTTTAAGAGAATATTGTACCAATATTAGATATGGGGCAAGTATGTTACTAGTGTGTTTATACATTAAATGATGACTAGAGGACTAATAGCTCAGGAACTGTTCAGAGTTGTTAGTCACCTCCTCACCTAGAAGTTGGGTTTTTATTGTTAAAAAAGAAGCATTCTGTTGGCACAATGGAATCTTCTGAAAGACCACATTGATGGGTATGAGTGGATGTGAATAAGAGAAAGACCAGAAATGTTTGTATAGATCAGCCACATAGAATTTGGTCCTTAGTCTGACCAAGATTCCTACTCTCACGTGCATTAATCTAAGGATGCTACTGCAGGAAACAATAAATGCTTAGGCAAACAACTTCTACCCATCCTTTCCCATTACAACATTGCCTTCAGCTATTCTCTCAACCAATGCAGGGGAAAAAAATTAAATGCTCTTTAGCCATAGCATTGCTAATAATGGCTGACTGGATGAGATCTATAACTAAATGTTTAGGTTTTCATATAAGTGAAAAAGAGATCTCAAAATATATAGATAATTAAGAGTTATTATATCTAAAATTTTGGCACAATAGAATTTGGTCCTTTACCCTATTTTTTATCTTGTCTGTTAAGCCATGATCTCTGAGAAAATTTCATATATTATAGTTCGTTTGTTTTTACATAGCAACCATCTAGCAAGTAGACTACAAAGATATCTATCTCCAATCTGTTTGGAGTACAATGCCCATAATTCACAAACATAATGGCTTTCCATATTCTTTGGCCATATTAGTGGAATATGAAGAGGATAGAAGTCCAATATATCTGCAGGACACCAAGTTGGAGAAGATACTGCACATGTACTGTCTCCTGCAAAGGATTCTCCGTATTACCCTCCGTATTACCCTCCTGCAAAGGATTTTCCATATTATTTGTATACTTTTTCCCTTTTTTCCATGTACAGAACACCTATAACTGTGCAATAGCCAAGGAACTGAGGCTAACACTTATCTTGTGTTTGTAAGCAATCTAGATGAATGGGAGATATTTTAGCTTGGGGATTCATGTCTGATTGGGTTGATGTAATTGTTGCTAGTTGATTGTGTTAAAGTGCAGTAGGAAAACACTTGAGCGTTGGCTAATTACAAAGGACAGTACCTTTCTCCTTTAGGAAGAGAAGCCAATAATTTCAATTCCCATTTGGACATTAGGAGTTTGGATTCAGCTGTTCTGGTAGAAAGGGGGGAGGGAGTCTTTGCAGTTAAATGGAACATTTTCCGTAAAATAAATAAGGTGCTTATTTTGTTGCAATTAAAAGTAATTATTGAATCAAATCGCTGTTTTCTAGGCAAGTTATAAACCCAGTAGTTTCTC